TATCATGTCACTATGAGTTGTAATATAAGTATGACTATACGTTTTTATCCTTTTGGGGTGTGTAAACCCAAGTCTTGTAATATACTAATTTGCTATATGTCTTGAAAGTTGTGTGAAGCATGAGCCGACTTATTTCGGTACTAGGACGCTTGTAATAGTCTTGTTATTTCACTCTCGAGTGCGAGGTTAACATATGCATGAAGATCTGGTCGGTTAATTGCTTTAATGTTATATTTTTTTATTTTTTTGGAGTTCGTTATGAATCTAATCCCTCTACTAGATTAAAATCAGTATGCTCTCATTAATTGGTTTTAAATGTCGCAAGCATTTAATTAGATTTCTTGTTTAAGTAGTGGTATCGTTTTGAAAGGATCGCTACATGAGAAGTGGTACACAGACAATCAAAAGGTTAAGAGGTGCCTATTGATGTCTATGTCTCCCGAGATTTTGAAGTGATATATTCGCTTACCTACTGCTCAAGAAATTTGGAAAGCTCTGTCAACAGCCTTCTATGATGGAGCAGATGAACTACAAGTCTTCACTTTGAATCAAAAGGCCTTTTTTGCCAAACAAAATGGCAGTCTCTGTCTTCCTACTATGGAGAATTGATTGAAATTTTTTGTGAGTTGGATCACCGTGATAAGGTGATCATGGAAAGTGAGAAGGATATCAGTTCTTACCGCAAGTCTATTCAACGACAAAGGGTGCACATCTTTCTTGCTGGTTTGGATGGTGAATTTGAACAGATTCGTGGGGAAATCTTGAGGAAGGATCCTATTCCAGAATTAGAAGAATGTTACTCAATAGTTCTTCGTGAATCTGTCCGGCATGCAACAGTGAATGGAGATCTTGAAAAATCTAAAGCAGCAGCCATGGTGAGAAAATATAGATCTAATCAAAATCGGTTCTCTCAAAATCAACCAGATCGAATGAGGTCTAAGGGAATCAACAAGTCCACTTATAAGTGTACTCATTGTGATCAATCGGGGCACACAAAAGATCGTTGTTTTGAAATTGTGGGATATCTAGAATGGTGGGATCATAATCGTGGTTCAAGAAGGATAAATGCAAGCAAGAGTTCCACTGCTGCAATTGTAGAAACAAATGCCAAGGAAGATGTTGCTGGACAATCCACAGCCTTGGTAGCAACGAGAGGTAACAATGGTAAGGCTTTAAATTCATCTGCACTTGTTTCTAATAGTACATGGATAATTGATTCCGGAGCTACGGATCACATGACATTTGATTCTAGACAAGTTTCATCCCTTAAACCCTCGTCACAAAAGTATATTTCCACCGCTAATGGTTCTTCGGCACCTATCATTGGGGAAGGATCCTTGTCTCTCATTAATAATTTGAATTTAGATAGTGTCTTAGTAGTTCCATCATTGGATTGTAACCTTTTGTCTGTTTCTCAAATTACCACTACCCTATCTTGCATTGTGATGTTTTGGCCTGACTATTGTGTGTTTAAGGACATCCAGACGAGGAAGACGATTGGTTATGGTGCTAGACAAGAGCAATTGTATTACTTGGATTTGGAGTCAAAAAGTTCTAATCTGTTGCGCCAAGCATTATCGGTTGATGTGTTTAGTTGTGAGGACAAAACAAGGAAATATGATATTTGGGTATGGCATAGACGATTGGGACATGCTTCTTTTGGATATCTTAATTGTTTCCTAAGTTATTTACAAAATTTGATGTTTCTGATTTCCATTGTGATGTTTGTGAACATTCAAAGAGTCATCGTGAGTCTTTCTTCACCAATAATGAATAAAAGTTCAATTCCTTTTATGATTATACATTCAGATGTTTGGGGTCCATCCAAGGTGAATACGTTAGGTGGATTACGTTGGTTTGTTACTTTTATAGACGATTGTACTAGAATGACTTGAGTGTATTTGATGAAGTTCAAAGGTGAAGTGAATTTGTTGTTTCAAAAGTTTTATAAAATGATTTGCACTCAATATAATGCCCAAGTAAGAGTTCTAAGTAGTGACAATGGAGGAGAGTATTCCAGCTATGAACTTAATCAATATTTAGAAGCATATGGAATTGCTCATCAAACTACTTGTACCAATACACCCCAACAGAATGAGGTAGCTGAGAGAAAAAATCGTCATTTATTAGAAGTTGTTCGTGCTCTATTGATTGAAGCTCATTTGCCACAATGTTATTGGAGAGAAGCACTCACTTGTGCAACATATTTAATTAATCGAGTGCCTTCTAGCAGAATTAACTTTAGAACGCCATCTCAAGCTCTTGCTAAAGTGGTGATTGCACCGACAGTCCCAAATTTGACTCCTCGTGTTTTTGGTTGTGTAGCATTTGTACATCTTCATTAGCATCAACGCGACAAGTTATCCCCTCATGCACTGCGGTGTGTTTTTTTTGGGATATGCTACTCATCAAAAAGGGTACAGATGTTTTTATCCTCCAACTCAACGAATGTTTGTTACAATGGATGTTGTTTTTCATGAAGAGTCTATGTATTTTTCTAATGAAACAAAACTCCAAGGGGAGGACGTGAAGGATATTTTGTCTATAAATTATGAAAAATTGTTACTTTCTGCACCTAGTAACAAGGTTGTAGATGAATCAAGTTTATGTGGTGGTGAACATCAAGAAATAGGACATAACCAAGAAATGGTAGAATCAGATTTGGGTACTGCTGAAAATCAGGAAATCGAAGAAGAAGATTTGGGTACTACTGGAAATAAAGAAATTGGAGAAGTTAGTCCAATATCACATGAACCCCTCACCCAACAAGCAACTGATGTACCAAATTAATCGTCGCCAACTCAAGATGTTTTTGATTTTGTACCTGAACCATCAGTTAAACAACTACCACCACGACACAATAGAGGTCTTCCTAAACCCACCTATGAACTAGAAATTTCTGGTAAGACTAGATACCCATTGAGCCATTTTGTGTCTAATCATCGTTTGTCAGAATCAAATAAGTCATTTGTAAATAAATTATCTGTTGTATCTATTCCTAACAATGTGCAAGAAGCCTTAATTGATCCCAGGTGGAAAGCAACTATGGATGAAGAGATGAAATCCTTGAAAAAAAATGATACATGGGAACTTGTCGATTGTCCAGCAGGAAAGAAAACAATTGGATGTCGATGGGTGTATACGGTCAAGTACAAAGATGATGGTATGATAGAACGATTCAAAGCGAGATTGGTGGCTAAGGGATATACTCAGACCTATGGAATCGACTATACCGAAACATTTGCACCTGTTGCAAAAATCAACACAGTTCGAGTGCTATTATTCTTGGCTGCAAATTTTGATTGGCCACTACAACAATTTGATGTGAAAAATGCTTTTCTACATAGTGAGATGTATGAAGAAGTCCATATGGACTATCCTCCAGGGTACGAGATACCGAGATCACATGATTATAGAGTATGCAGATTGAAGAAATCACTTTATGGACTGAAACAATCACCAAGAGTGTAGTTTGGAAAATTCACCAAATCTATGAAGGCATTTGGCTATACTCAAAGCAACATCGATCACACTTTGTTCTTGAAGAGACAACAAGGTAAAATTACTGCCCTTATTGTACATGTTCATGATATGGTGGTGACTGGAAATGACCCTGAAGAAAGGAAAGCTCTCCAAATCTACCTGTCTAAAGAATTCGAGATGAAGGACCTTGGTCCATTAAAGTTTTTCCTTGGAATTGAAGTGGCTATATCATCTAAAGAAATTTTCTTATCCCAAAGAAAATACACTTTAGATTTGTTACAGGAAACTGGCATGACAGCTTGCCAACCAGTTGATACACCTATTGAAGAAGGCCTGAAATTAAGTGTTGAACCTAATCAAATTCCAGTTGATAAAGGAAGATATCAGAGACTTGTAGGAAGTTTTTGTGACTAATTTTCGGTGAAGAACTAGTGGAACTTTAGAACTAACAACTTACTTCTCAGAGAATTCATCGAAGCCAAATACTACAAAAGATTACATCACGTGGCTAGAAAAGGAACTAATAATCAATCCCATACATGGAGAAGACTAATGAAAATCAAAGAACTTTGAGAACCGAATATCTTATGGAGTATTGGAGAGGGCAATGTGTTTTTCTAGTGGAATAACTGGAGTTTCAAGCAACACTCACAAATACTTCAAATGCATAACGAACATAATATTAAAAAAAAAACAATTAGCCAAACGAAATTTATTGGACTATCCAAGAATGTTGTTGAATAAACTAAAATGCATAATTTTAATAGCACAAGTGATGAAACAAAATAGAACAGATTCAAACTAAAGCATAAGAGCACAAGTTAAAATCCAAAAGGCTATGGTGTCAAAAAAAACACATACTTTTACAGATTCAGAAGTCAAGATCTACCAAATCGAAAGAAAATACAAAACACACAAATTATTAGATCCTATAGAAGTTTCAAAAAAATGAAGCACCAAGCTTGAAGAAAAAGAACATTGAAAACACATTAAAATTGAAGCTTAAGAGCACAAGTTAAAATCCTAATGGCAATATAATCCATTAAAGCACATATTTGGACACATATCTGTACATACTCATATGTCAAAATCTACAAAAATTGAAAGAAATATACAAACCACAAAAATGATTAGATACTAAAGAAAGGAAAAAAGCACAAAATTTGAAGAAAAATGACACTGAAAACACATTAAGAACTGAAGCTTAAGATCAACATAAGTTAAAATCCAAATGACAATAGAATACACTAAAGCACATACCTGTTTTTTACTGATTCAGAAGTTAATATCTACCAAAAGTGAAGGAAATATACAAACCCCACAAATCATTAGATAATAAAAAGGGAAAAAAGCACAAAATTTGAAAAGAAAAAGAACAATGAAAACACCTTAAAACTGAAGCTTAAGATCTTCCTGCTAGCACCTTGCCTTCTTTTTCTCTTAATCTTCAAACTGTAAATCAATGGTAAAGTTTCAACAAATCAATGGTAAAACTTCAAAAAATAGATAGAATGTATGAAGGCGATGCGTGTGATAATTACTTAATCTATTAACACAATCTAAGGTACAAATTTCTGCAACAATTTTCAAGTTATTGTAATTAATTCTATATCTTCAACTATCAATTAGTCAGACCTAAATTAGAGGAATAAACTTGCCTCAAGGGCTGCCAAAAAGAAACCAAAAGAACTAAAACCCTAAAAACTTTGAAGCATAGAAGGAACTAAAAGGAGGGAAGCCAAAAATTTCACCGCCAAATTATTTTTCCTTGTATATGTTGTACTCCAGATTTTTTCGCTATAAATCTGTGATAAACCATAATGTCCATAGTTGTTTAGTCGACCCAACCAACTTGAACGGAGATTAAACTTGATTTGAAGAAAGGACTCAACCAAATTGCACAAAGATCTCATGGGCTAGGTTTTAACAAAGGGTTGGAGTTCTTTCTGAAATGGAAGAATGAGTTTTAGAAAAAATAAATTTATGTTTTTTTTTATTAAAAGGGAGGTTTTTTTTTAATGTTTGCTATATCTGATGCGGCCTTCATATTCTAATAACTTTATTTAATTTTTTATTTTATTTATTACTATAACCTTTCACAAGACTTGTCATTTTTATATAAAGAGGAAAAAGTCTAATATACCCTTCATTCTAAAAGTGTTTCATATATATATATCCCCTCACATATACCCTTTTCTTCTAATGGATTTATCAAAAAAAGTAATCCATGTATAAGTATGTTTTATCCTTCTCAGACATTTTTTAAAAGCTTTTTTTTAATTCAACGGCTAATTTGAATTTATTATTTTGTTGTTCAAATTTATTCTTTTAGCTTATTTTCTTATAAAATTTATTATATATGTCCTAAATTTTCTTCACATATATAAAAATTAAATTACAATAAAGCCGCAAAAAATATAATTTTAATTTTTTCTTTCTTTTTTTTGATTCACACTTCTTTCTTTTATTTCTCTTATTTTACACCAAATAATGAAAGAAAAATGAAATAAGAATAAGAAACTCAAATAATAACAATCAAAGAAGTCAAAAAATAATTTATGTGTGAAAAAATTCAAATAGATGAGTTTTAAAAATATTTAAAATAAAAAAAAGTAATTTTAAAATTAATTTTATCACTTTTGTAATGGTAGGGGTATATGTGAGCCACTTTTGTAATAGTAAAGGGTACATGTGAGCCAGCTACTTTTAAAACGAGGGGCATATTAGCTCAAAATGACAAAGTTCAGAGGTATATTGGGCCCTCTTTTCCTTATACATAATATAATAACATATAGAGAAAATTTCACATATAGCAAACATAAAAATCATATTTGTATGTTATAGTTATAGTTTGCATAATTGCGCTCCATAGCAAACATAAATATGTACGTATATTTCGCTATACATATACAAAAGAAAGCAGTTGTATAATCATAAGTGTATAGGACGAAAATATATGTATTTGTATTTGTATATATAATTTTCTCTCGCTTTATACAAATACAAACACAATGTATACATTTGTGTTTGGATAAAGTGAGATAGGCGAGTGAGAGTGGCGAGCGAGATCTGGGAGAGTGGCGAGCGAGATATGGGAGAGGGGAGAGAGGGGAACGAAAAAATATGTATATATACAATTTTCTCTCGCTTTATAAAAACACAAACATATTTTATACATTGTTGTTTGTATAAAAGCGAGAGAAGCGAGGGAGACTGCCAGCGAGAATGAGAGTGGCGAGCGAGATTCACCAGGAGAGAGACGAAATAGCAATAGTTTGCTATGGGGTACAATTAAATCAAACTATAGTTCTTAACATTTAATTTGAATTAATAGTTTGCTATTATATACAATTTTCCCTAATATATACAGTAGCCTTACAATACCTACTGTCAAGGCCAATTTTTTTAATTTGGCCGGAATCACTTACCTAGTTAAGAATCCCTCTAATTATAAGGGTGAAAGATATAAATCATTAGCCACCAAGCGTATAGAGAAAACTATCGAATAATGTTAAGCATGTCATTTAAAAAATAATAAAAATTCACCCATATATATAGGGATAATCTATCCCAAATAGAATGGGATTCAAATTCCAGTTTTATGGAAATAATAACTATGAAACTTTTAAACTAGAAAACTTTTGAAATAAGAAACTTTTAAATAAATAAGCTTTTCAACTATGAATCTTTTAAATAAGGAAATTTTTAAACTAGGAAACTTTGGGTTTGTACATTCAACGTTTTAACATGGCTCCCTTTTGGACTTCATGTGACACGATCCAATTTTATTTCTTTAATATATTTGACTTTGCCTTATTTTGGACAGTTCTTCTGTAATAAATATTTTCTTGTTTTTTTATTGAAATCCGTCAATATTAATGGAGGCAAACCATCGATCGTGGGAAAATTATTTTACTTTCCTCCTAACTAAAAAAATATTATTTAGCTAGGGTGTAGGATTTAAATGATTTTTCCTTCAAACTTTGCGAATTATTCAAATCGGTCCTTGAACTTTATGAATGGTCAAAATTTCTCCTTTATATATATGTTGTTGTAGATACATTAGCCCATAAGGGAAATTGAGTCATTTTGATAATAAGGAAAGTAAAAATGATACTTTTTAAATACAAGGTAAATTTGTGATTAATCATGTAGTTCAGGGGTGAATTCATATCTTTGTCGTATAAAGAACGACAAATAACTTTCAAAAGATTCATATTTCAAACAATAAATGTAAATGACGGTAATTAACGATTAATAATATGACATGTGAAACGTTTGTCATAATATAGACCTTTTTGGCAAATATCATTATTTTAACGACATTGTTTTCCAAATACCATTAAAAATAATGACACTTACCAACAAATGTCTTATTATATTGGACATTTGTATAAAATGTCGTTCTTTTAACAACATTATCACAAAATGTCACTAAAAGAAACGACATTTGTTGCAAAATGTCATTATTTTAACAACATTTTCGCAAAATGTTGCTAAAAGTAAAGACATTTGTTGCAAAATGTCATAATATATTCGACATTTGATGTCAAATGTCATAAAAGAGTGACGATTCTGACCAAATGTCATTATTTTAATGACATTTTGCATCGAATGTCATTGTTTTTGCGATATTTGTTCATAAATGTCATAATTCTTTATTTTTTGACATTTATTTCAAATGTCACCAAATAAATGTCGTCATATCTCTACTTTATTGTAGTGAGACCTTGCTTATTCTTTAAGTGTGGTAAGTCAATTTATGCATAATCTTGGAGAGCAACATATGAATGCAATTATGCGCATCTTGAAGTATTTGAAGTCTGCTCCAGCAAAGGGAATTTTGTTCACAAAATGTACAAATCCTCTAGTGATAAATGTGTATACGGATGCTGACTGGGCTGGAGCTATCGATGACAGACGGTCTACTTCAGGATATTTCACTTTGTGGAAGGAAATCTTGTTACATGGAGAAGCAAAAAAACAAAATGTCGTTGCTCACTCAAGTGCGGAGGCGGAATTCAAAGGAATGACACTTGGAATATGTGAAGCATTATGGTTGAGAGTTCTCTTAACAGATTTGAGTTATCCACCTAAGACACCAATCCAACTATATTGTGATAATAAGGTTGCACGTGATATTGCACATAATCCAGTACAACACGATCGTACCAAGCATGTAGAAGTAGACAGGTTTTTCATCAAGGAAAATTTGGATGGAAAGATATTAGAGTTACCCAAGATTCGATCAGAGGACAAATTGGCTGATCTTCTTACTAAAGCAGTTTCGAGTAAAATGCTCTCCAAGTTTGGGAGCAAGTTGGGCATGTTCGACATCTATGCACCAACTTGAGGGGAGCGTAGAGATATTTTAGGACTTGATTGTGTAATCTTTTAAAATAGGAACTCGATTC